TAGGGATCTTGCTCCATCCCGGGAGCTCTTCTAACCCATTCTAATGCAAATGCGCATTAGCTGATAATCTGAATGTTGAGTGGATTATTTCACCCCCAGACTGAGCTGCTGCAAGGTGAAATTTTAATTTTTATTTATTTTTTTTCCCCCCTTTTAATACGCTGAAGCACAAAATAAAAACCCCAACCCGCCACAAAGAAACCCACCTCGGGATTGGGATTTATCTGTGCGGGAAGGACGATCTCCCTTTCCTTCCCAAGCCCAAAAATAAACGGAGAACTCCGACCCAGTGACACCCTCTAACAGCTTTATCTCATGTGCGCCGTAATTGCATCAGCAAACATTTGTGTTGTAATTAAAGCCAGGAACCACTAAACCATGAGAAATCAATTAAAAGAGGATCCCGGCTGCGGGAGCAGCATCCCAGCCTCCTGCCTGTCCTGCTAAGATGCTGCTTCATCCTTTTTTTTTCTCCCCCTCTCCAAAAACAAACCCCACGGGGGGGTTTGACCTGCCCCAAAGTGGTTTTTTTTTTCCCCTGCCTGTTTCCTGAATGCTGGAGCATCCCTGGTGGTGGCACAGCAGCGCTGCTGGTGTTGAATTTGAGGGGTTTGGGGAGCAGAGGGATCTCCCTGGGTGCTGCAGGATGGGGGGCAGAGGCAACATCCCGGTATCCACATGGAATGTTGGGCTTGTTTTCGGGAGCAGCAGCAGGTTGGGTGGTTGGTTGAAGGCACCGGGCTCGGCTCCTGCCAGGAGCAAATGGAAACGTGCAGGAAATGTGCGTTATATAGGGCAAGGTTTGGATTTTTGGGTGGAAACAGGGAAGGGGGATCCTGCTGCAGGGATCCAGCCCTGTTTGGGTATAAACCGGGAAGGGCTGTGGGAATCCAGCCCCATGCAATGCTCAGCTGAGGCTTTGCTTGGCGTGGGTCTAAAACCCTCTCTCGCCTCAGAACCAGCTTTTTGCTCAAGCCACCACCCCCAAACCCCAGGAATTGGCTGCAGGATGCCATCCCCTGCTCCAGCCACAGGACACTTCACCCCCGGAGATGCATTTCCCGAGCGCTTGGGAAAAGCAGCTAAATCCCCCAAAACAAACCCTTTCCCTGCACGTGCGGCTCCTTCCCCCGGGAGAGACTGAAAGAGAGACTGAACCACAT